AATGACACTGCAAAAATTGGCATTCGTGACTACCTTTGGTGCACCGGCGCAATGGCTTAATAATTTGACTAATTTAAAGTAAAGAAATTTGTGCATTTATTGATATTTTTGACAGTAGAATTTACTCCATTGTACTTAATTCAGTCAATTTCAATGGTTGATTATTTATTGGGATTGCATAGGTTACCCGTCAGACACTGTCTGCAATGTTTCTGATTTTGTGACGGCGTTTGAGATTTGGTCGATGATAGCCCCAATCTGATGCAGAGTTGGTCCGATGCTCTCGTCTGGAGTATTCAACCGGTTGATTATACATTAACTAGCTCCTTCGCTAATTAATGTAATTTCATTTAATCAGGGTTTTAATGGGCGTTTGTCGTGCAAATGATTTTTCATGGCGCGTTATGACGAACATGATGAGATTGCCGGACTAATAGTTTTTTTTGCATCGAACAGCATGAATTTGGCACATTAATGGCGAAAATATCGCCTGCATCGCAAATGTTTGCAGTTGAGGTTATTTGTATCACCCGTGTCAGCTACACGCGTTGTAGTATCATAATCGACAGTCTGTGATTTTGGAGACGCGTGGTCCAATAACGCGTTTATTTATACTGCATGCTATTTTTAATTGCTCCTCTCGTTGCAATCCTATCGCAATGCTTTTGCCTCCTTGGCCAAGTGCCAGAATCATTTGATTAAATACGCAAGAACAGTTGTGAACCGGCACCAAAAACAAAGCTCGTCATCGAGAAAGCGGAGGGACAGTAGCATTAGATTTGACCTTACCGACAGGTGTCGAACCGTCATGCGACATTAGGTCGTTCGAACACTACTCCGTATTGAACAGTGGTTGCGCAACGCTTGAATCCCAAATGCACAATTTGAATAATTTAGGGAAAATTTGTTTGATGAATTTACTAATGTTTCTGGAGTCACTTCGAGAACTTCTTTGAAAGACATCCCCTACTTTAATACTACGACGGGTAGTTTAAAAAATAACTTAATCGAAGTGAGATAACAACGTTATATATAAGTACGAATGTATGTAATAGTTTTACCCTGATGAAGCTTGTCCCTCTAATCAGATAAACTTTTCTGTGTCATCTAGCTACGTGAGAACATTCATGTCGGTGCTCGGTAGAACGGAATGACGGTTTATATTAGCGTCATATGTAAACACTGTATAAAATAAAATGAAATAAGTAATGAACAGATTCACATTCTCTTGCCCCTATTCATAAGCACATGGTGACATAAAAATAACTAGGTTATAATGGGTTTACTCGCAAACTGCTGATTTACGATATGCATATACAAGAATACGCATAGTGGTATTTTAGTGCAAGTCAGGTTTTTGTTTTGCTCGTCACCCCGACGTGTTACATAGGAAAAGCAAGGCAATAGTGCGATTACGTTGCACTAATTTGGAAAAATGACAGGAAGCTGTTATTCTTGCGGAATGTATCGACTTGGAACAGTTTACTTGCATAAAATAACCCTGGTACATAATACCGAGTTATTTTGTAGAGTATATTTAACTTGAAAATCTTTAAGAATGTGCGACAGTATGGCGTAGTGTTTTGTGTCTGCCTGCAACTTTCCTTGCTAGGCTTTAGGTAAGAATTACGGCTTTTAACGTGTTATCCTTTATGCTGTTAATAAATATTTAGCACGGGTGCAAAATGCTTGTCATCAGAATAGTGAACAGTTGCAAGTTTCTGCTGCGTCCGCAGTGGCTTTCTCACGTGCTGGCCCCGACGTCGTCGGCGACAGTGTGTACTTCGTCTGCAAAGCTTGGTGCGACGTATATTCCGGACAAGACGTTGCAGGAGATGCCAAAGGACTTCAAAGAAAACCCGGAGCGTGA